GGGGGGGGGGGAGGAGGGGGGGGGGGGGGGGGGGGGGGGGGGGGGGGGGGGGGGGGGGGGGGGGGGCGGCGGTGATTGAAGTAGCCTCAGATTTGGCCTTTTGCTGAGAGATTTACGGCATAGTTCTTGCTTTCTCAGGCTGATTCTGGCCCTGAGTAATTTGCCTTCTCTGGATGGTTATTTCCAGTATTCGCTTTAACTCCGAGATACTCCATCTCCGCACATCTCGATGGATATGATGAAAAAAAATAAAATGTCATGCTTGCCAGTTTTTCCCTCTAAAAAAAAATTAAAAAAAAAATCAATTTTTAATTTTTTTGTAAAAAAACCGTTCTTCCTGATTTGCCTGCCAGTTTTCCCTCTTAAAAAATTTTTAAAAAAATCAATTTTTAATTTTTTTGAAAAAAAAAACTGTTCTTCCTGGTTTTAGTCGCTGCCAACAGGAGCAGCCGCAGAAGTAGTAGGTTCAAAAACTGGCGGAGGCTTTGCGGCTTTTTCTGGTGCCGGGCATCGCCTGGATGGAAAGTCAAAAGCGTCATCATCGTCACTGGCCGAAATGGACACTACCGAGCGTTCTCTTCCAGCACTAACTGTTAATACGAATTATACACCGGGCAACTTAAACTTCGTGAGGTAGATTTTAATTATCAGGGATTTTGTTTTTTTTATTTTTTGACGTTTTTGGAAAATCGCTGGAAGTGGCACAGAACTTTATGCGTTTCGGCATAAACTTAAAGAAGTCTACTGTATATGCGGACCTGAGGAATTTTACTTTGTAACTACATAGGTTTGGGAAAGGAAAGAGGGAGGGGGAGGGGAGGGCAGAGGAAGGAAAAGGGGAAAGGGTTTGAAGTTAGGGGTAAAGTCTTTGCTTATAGAAAGAGTTAAAAGCTTAAAATTAGCGTTCAGGCTCTTTTTTTTGCTTTTATCTTCTTTGTTTTGAGCCTCTCATCCAGGTGATTCCACATAGGCTTTCAAACATATCCTTCTAGTCTACTCCATGTGTTTTTATTTTAATATTAGATGGGTAGCATTCAAAAATTCACTTGTCCATCTGTTGTCTCTCATTCTTGTCGCATGGCTAGCCCAACTCTTTCAGACAGTCACTGCCTTGATAATTTTGCTCACACCAGACCTGAACGCAGTTTCCCGTTTATATAGCGGAGCAAAAAAAAACTGAGCGTTTGGTTAAACAATTAGAAAGTGATGTTATGTCAACGATTTCAAGGTTTTACAAAAACGCATGTGCTTGGGGGCTTGAAAACTTGTTCATTAAAATTTGGAAAACCGTACAGTTTCGGAGCTTTATAACAATAGTTATTATTGTAACATAAAACAGATCTCCGGCCAAAATTCTGTGAGAGACGGAGGCACGTGGGAATTAGCCTTAGCAGTAATAATACGTCGTCTTATGCACGTCCTAGTTATGCCACCCAGTACCGGTCCAGCCCCTACATTTCCAAATTCCATCTGCCCAGAGGGTCCAAACGGTCCGTGGGGTCTTTTTCTTATATTATTGATAACAAATTGGCAAAACGGATATTTTCAGCGTACATCAAAATTTAATTCAGCTTGCTGATATCTACCATACGTCGTTACACAACTCGTTGAGTCACCGTTAATATTTATTTTTTTCAATAATTTCGCGATTTGGCCAACAATTAC